CCGCTCGCTGACCCTGGGGGCCCCCCGGGGGCCCCCCAGGGGGGCCCCCCCGGGGGGCCCCCACGGGGAGGGTCTTGGGGTGCACGGGCTGGAGAGGGAAACCAGGGGGGCCCCCCTCTCTGAACCCTCAAAGAGCTGCACACTGAGGGGCCCCTCTAAGTCCGGGGGCCCCCCGAGGCCCTCTATGGCGGGCACTGCGGGACGGTAAGGGACATAGGGGGCCCCACTGGGGCCCCCTGTACCCTCTTGGGGGGCCCCCCCTGGGGGGTGGGCCCCCCGCTGCAGCGCAACATAAGCCCCAATGCTGTGCTGCAGCGGCAGCAGCAGCCGCCGGAGGCGGGAGACTTGTTCTTTTGTGGCAGTTAGTTTGGCCCGGGCATCTGTGAGGGCCTGCAGCAGCAGCAAGCAGGAAGCAGCAGCACAAGCTCAGCGCCTATTTGCTGCTGCTGCTGCTGCTGCTGCTGCTTGTGCTGCTGCTGCTGCGGTGCTGTTTTGCTGCCCGTGTAACTGTGCCCAGCGCCACTTCCGTGGCAGCGCCTCGGGGCGATGACTCCTGGGTTAGAGTTTAGGGTTTGCTAGGATCAGGGTTTAGGGTTTAGGGTTTAAGGTCTTCAACCCCCTCACGGCCTGCAGATTTGCTTCTCGCTTTCTGTGGGCCTTGAGCGCCCGGAGGCCCTCTCTGTCAGCAGCAGAAAGCCCCGTCTCCCTGGACACAGCAGCAGCAGCAACAGCAGCAGCAGGAACAGCAGCAGCAGCAGCAGCAGCAGCAGCGGCAGCAGCAGCAGACTTGCAGCATTAGGAAGAGGAGGAAGGGCAGCATCCGCACCCGTAGTAGCACTAACAGCCTCTGTAACTCTAGCAGCAGCAGCAGCAGCAGCAGCAGCAGCAGGCAGGCGGCCCCGCAGAGCTGCTCCCGCAGCAGCAAAGACCCCAAGGTGTATATAATATATATATAAAGAGACAAAGAAATATATCGAGAAGAAAAAGACAAACAGGAATACATGAATAAAGAAAAAAACAAATAAAAGAGTGCTTTAGAAGAAAAAGAAATAAATAAAGGTAACTTTAAATTTGCCTGACAGCTGCCTGGCCTCACCTGGCTTCTCTTGTTAGCTGCAGCAAAGCAGCGCGCAGCTGCTGCAGCTTCTCCTCGAGGGGCCCCGCCTCCGCCACCTAGCAGCAGCAGCAGCAGCAGCAGCAGCAAATGCAGCAGCAGCTAAAGCAGTAGCAGCAGCTGCAGCGGCAGCTCCAGCAGCAGCAGCAGCTGCTGTAGCTGCAGCTGTTTCTTCTCGGGTGCTGCTTCCTTCGGGCCGGCGCAGCCTCTTTCATTTGAAGGGCAGACGCAACTAGGGTTTAGGGTTTAGGCCTTAGGGTTTATCTCTCAAGTTTGGCGTTTCTCCGCACCTAGAGTTAACGGCTTAGGGTCTAGGGTTTCGGGTTTACGGCGCTCACCTCGCGCGCCGTCCCACCGAGGGTTTAGGGTTTAGGGTTTAGGGTTTAAAGTTTACCTTTTTGGACAGCTCTTGGGGCATTACTGACACGCACTGCCCCAGCCTCTCCCCAAATTGCCTCTCCACTTCTTCAAGAGCCAGCATAAACCGAATCTTCTCTTCTTCCGTTATTTCATCTTGGGGGCCCCCCTGGGGGGCCCCCAGAGATTGCCTCTCGGGGGGCCCCTTGAGGGGCCCCCGGGACTGCGGGGGCCCCCCTCCAGGCCCTTGGGGGGCCCCCCTGCTGCTGACCCTAGCGCGCACAGAGGGGGTCCCCAGGGGCCTGCGGGGGCCCCCCGGAGAAAGGCCTCTGCTGGGGGGCCCCTCTTCCGGGGGGCCCCTCCTGGGTCCCCGGGGGCCCCCCTGGGGGCCCCCCTGGGGGCCCCTAGAAAGCGAAATTCGCTCCCTCAGACTTGCATTCAACTTCTCCAATTCTTGCTGGTTTCTTGTCAAGGCCTCAGCCAGTGCAGTCACTGTGGGGTTCAGGGGGCCCCCGGGGCCCCCGGCGCCCCCTGGGGGGCCCCCCGGGGCCCCCAGACGGGGCCCCACAGGGCTCGTGGAGGTTCTGCGGGCGAGC